AAATTGCCGGCGAAAATTTTATCAATTTCATATGAATTTACCTTAAGCTATTCAATTTACCTTAAGCTAATGAAATGATCTCTACCAGCGCCGCTGATCTAATTTTTCATTAACAATATTTTCGCAAAAAAATATAATAAATAAATTAACGTAATGTTATTACAACTTTGTCGCAAGGTTAGGACTCAGAACCGAAAATAAAAAAGTTCTGGCTTTAATTCGTATAAAGTTCGATACATTAGAATGAGGAAGATTGTACGTTTATTCCTTGAGTTCCGAAGTAATCAGCCGCTGAGCTCGATAGTTACAAGTAACAGACAGAGTTCTCATTATTGTAACCGGTGGTAGAGTGTCTACGCGAGGCCCGTCTAGTTATTTTTTACACACCTTTTAGCGAAGCTAGAAGTGGTTTCATCGTCGAGACGCAGGACATTGGGAAGCCTAGGCGCCACCGTGCCGAGGGTAGAATTTCCTTCCTTCCTGTCCTTACATCTTTTTCTGGACCTTCTGTCCTATAACAAGGACACGTTCCTTTCCGTAATTGATCCTGCGAGACACCCCACGCGCCAGGTGAACTGAAATAAACAGCTGTCTGTTGTTCATAAGATTCAACGTGGACGGTAGTTGATGGTTATCTTATCATTTCTTTTCTTTCCTAATATTATTATTCACTTGTAGATTTGACTTGTGTTCAGCTCTGTGCTTGCATATGCGCACCGTGCAGCAACTGACAATAGCAAAATTGTGTTTTTCGTGTTGTCTGTTATTATTTTGGATTCGCCATTTAGATGTCATTATATATTGATTCGCGACTTGAAACAACTCATTTGCGATCAGTGTTATTGCCATTGATGAAAAATATCCTCGATGGATTGTAGTGAGGACGCCTCTTTTGTCCGTGGACCAGTTCAACCAAAAAGCTTGTGGCCAGAGCAGCACTGCGTAGCACCGCACGCCTCCAAGCTCCGCGCAATGTTACTCCTAAATGATCCCCCGCTGACAGAGAGCTCGTCGTCAGCCAGCGGGAAATCCGACATACATAACAAAATTGCTGTCTAAAATTACAGACCGAGAAAAAATGACAAAAGTAAATTTATTAATGAGATAACTTATACTGGAGAAAAGTTTCCAAACCCTAATTGGATTAGAGGGTAGCGTGAGACAGGCGTTTCAGTGTAAACTTTTCCCTCTCATATTTAACGTATTCCTGTTGTTCATCGTCAGGAGCGAGATGCATGCACTTGCCCTTTCCCCGAATCGGTCACAGTCCGTTATGTAGGCTTGCGTCATTGAGTTGGTCGCGGCCGCTTGGCGACACGCCTCGTCGCATGCAGACCATTGTTCGGTGCTGGCATTAGTGCCCCCCAATACCTGGAATAACTGCTTGCACCTGGACCTTGTGTGGGGGTGAGAACCTTCACGTGGGCTGTAGAGTATAAGTAAGAAATAATTTAATTTATTGTCGTGTCCTGACTTAGAATGAGATCTTCAATTTGAAAAAATTCTGTAATGTAAGCAAGAAAGATGCATAGATTTATCTAAAATTTCCACGCGTGTTTGTCTATCAACCATGAAATAACTATTAAAAAATCGAGTGATGTGATATTGAAAGCAAGTAAATTACTAATATTTTTATTTGTATTCAATTTTGCTTTAGTTGCAAATTTTCACTACACTGATGACTTTTCTCACACTATTTTGGTTTTACCGTAATAAATATAGCTCGTACAATTCTCACGTTTCAGGAGCATCCGCTGAAATGTACCGTTGTCGCACGTGAGAGGAGCGAGTTTACCGCGGGCCTTATATTCTCTCATGACTAACCGGATGTGAATGCAATATGTATAGTATTTCTGCTTGCTCTTTGAGTCAGGCTTGGCGGCCTCACTACGTCATCAGAGCTGCGCGGGCGGAGCTTAGCTTGGTGGCTTGATTGCGTAGCACTTGTGCGGTTACCAGCTCTACGTACAACCAATTGCGATGTGCCAATAAATCCTGTTACATTGTGCACTTACGAGCATGATATTTATATTATTTTATTTTTCTCATTGATCCGACTTGGGGGTAGTTTAATGATTATTTTGATTAAACAAATTGTCCATAACGTATACGTCATCCGCATGAGACGTCATGTTAGAGACACAAGGCCTTGTGGAGCAGTAGCTCTGCTGCCACACTCAGTGCCGCGGTGTGGCGTGTCGGTGTAGGTGCGCTTGTATGTCAGTGCAGCATTATTATCAATTGCAATCGTGTCTAGTGTGCTCATTACATAGAACTTTTAATGTCAAATTTCCATGATGTGACATTGTCAACTGTTGTATTTAGTTCAACATTAAAAAAATTAGCTACTGGTGATCGATAACGTTTTTTCTGCTCCTCCATTATTGAATACGTTTATAAATATCCCTTCCTGTCTTGTGTGTTGTGTGTTAGACGGCATTATCATGTTTTAATTAAAATCGCATGTATTGTCTGGGTTAGAAGGTATTTGAAGTATACAAACTACCATCAAGTTTGTGCACAACAATTGGGCGCCCGACGTCGGGCTCGTGCACCAGTATTGCTTTCGCTTGTCTAGACCATTCCTATTAGTCGGCCATTGTTCACGTATCTATTAGTATTCAGCAGCACGCTGCTGGAAGACTTGTGTGATATTGTTATTTAGCGAGAAAACGTTTTTTCTGACTTTGAGGAACCTATTTTATTTCGACATGTAGATAGTTTATTAATTTTTCATTCAATTGGGCTGGTGATTTTTGCTATAGGATGTGGACATCATCCAGTGCTTAGAACGACTGCTTCCGTCGGGTGCCTTGCAGTTGCGGTGCAACTTATAATTATTATTTAGAGGCTACATGAATGAATCTAGCCAATTCTCCGGAATGTATTTTGCTTCGTTCTCAACAAATTTGGATCATCACGCGTACAATGGTGTTAAAGAAATATTCGAAATGGTCATAATAACAAATTCGAATTGAAACCGACACGATGGGAGTAATGATGATTGTTCGCCATACTGAATAATTGTGTTTTCTCGCGAAAAGTCAGGTGGCATCAACTTAACAACGTTTAAATAAAAATGAGCTACTTCTCAATGTTATTTTCGTTGTTACAAATTGTGCTGTGAAACCAAGTCGCCCTTCGTGTATCTTTTCGTCGTGTTCTTCTCAAACCTTGCGATTGATATTTTTGAATATCACTTTCATTATTATAAATATTCGAATCTGCGACACGATTTAGAATAAATTATTTTTCCATCGTAACTACTAGTCTCAATAGACATGGCTTTGACGTTATTCATTCATTCCTGATTTACTCTTTGATTGTGCGATAACCCTGCATACAATTCATTATTTGGGGCTTAACATTCACTGTAATCGTTAGTTTGCGTTGAGTGTACCTCGTATTCAGTGAAGTCTTGCCTTCTATTATGAGTAGCTAATACTATTCGTATCAAACCAGGACAGTCTAGCCTTGAATAAAGATTTATTTGAAATATTGACGTTTTATTGGATATTTGCAGACCAAAGTGATAACCTCGATCTCATAAATGTAGTGCGTCATCATTACTGAATTTAATTAATTTGTATATCACGAAGTACTTTGTTATCTATCACCTTATCTCTGACTCAGTCCATTATCAAGCAGTGTAGGCAATGCTTGCTAAGCCTTCTAACGTCAGTCTTTATTCTGGTGAAACAGTGAGCGGTTAGTTCGCTCTTCCTTATCAATATAGAGCGCTATATGCTATATCAACTGACTGATATCTGGTACCATATCTTATGTAAAGTTCCTCTTTTTAATATCAACTCGTTTGACAGTAACTCTATTGCTTAGGATGCTTGGTGTGTCGATGTTTGGTATAATTAAATAATCGCTCCTTCTGAAATATTATCATTTCTTTCATTTCCAAGGTGAAATACTAGTCATGTACCAAAGATTATTCTAGTAACTACACACAACTTCGGAAAAGTTTTAAATCGGATTGAAAATTTCAACCTTACCAACAATTCTGCATTTCTTTTCAACAAAGCTGCAGCTCAATCTTTATTCAATTTATGCTCTTAAACATTGAGAAAACATCGCGTTGAATGCTCTACCAGAAAAGTATTTCGTAATATGACGTTGGCAGCACATCAACAGCACAGCCCCCTTGTAAACCTCGACCAACTTCTATGTGAATTCAATTCTTTCGATGTCGACAATTTATTTGAGGTAAGATACAGAAAATAACACGTGATCTTGCATTCATTTATAGTTATTACATTAAAAAAAAACTCACGATTCACATCAGTCACCCAGTGCAACAAATTCGAATGAAAGCTCAACTAAGTACGTATATTATTGCACAGTGTAAAAATCGCGTTTTTCCTCACATTTTGTTCTACGTGATTAATTCAAAATAGCATTTTAATCAATGATTTACTAGCTCACGATGGTTATAGGATCGACGTTTAGTTGTGTGTAGCTATCAGCCCTTCACGCAGGATGAGCGCTACGCTGCTGCCTCGCGGGTTCAGCGAAAGCGACAGCTGCCGCTCGCATTGCTATTTTTAAGCGGCTGCAGGGACCCTAAATTTGGCTGTTCTTGCAGCTGCCGTCCTCCAGACCTTCGTCTGCATACGGTTTACTGCAAACTGAATACAGTAGTAGGAATTTTTGATCGATTTTGAAGTAACTGAATGTTCGGTCATAAAAAAACGCAAAGCGCAACCGGCAACAACTAATTTGAAATTTGTCGATGCGCTCAAAAATTTATGTAAGTTGGAAGTCGCCAGTGACATGTAACAATTCAAAAGTTACAATATATTTGGTCCTGATTTCTCTTAATTCCGTGTAGGAGTTCAGTAGAAATCAGTTTCTGAGGAAGCCACACTCAACTTATGCTTCAAATTTCCTTCGCTTTACATATGTGCTTAGTTGTCTGGATTTTCTTCCACGTCGCTTTATTCCTCTTTTTTCATTTTAGCGAAAACTTCTATGTATTGTTTTTATTTCAGGGCCTCGATCAACCCTGCTCAGAGAGCAGAACTTCGCTGCCTTCGTCCCACGTCGCGCCTTCTTCCCCGACCCCCACCCACAGAAGCTCCTCGTCAAGCAGCAGCGCCACCACAACCATCCACAACCATGTCTTGCCCTCCACAGCCTCAACCAGCTCCTGCAGCAACAGCAGTAGCATCTCTGCAACGCCTTTTACAGGCGTCGTCAGGAGGGAGAAGCTCCACCCTCCTCGCACCGACGCCCACAGACTTTCTAAAGCTAACTTGGAAGGTAAGTCGATCGGTTACACTGGGTAATTAATTCCTTTATTTCAGCGCTGATGACAAACATAGTACAATATTATTCGCTAATTTTCTGTTGGTCAAGTCTTCGTTTGCCGTTACAATCACATGACGATGTTATCGCCTACATTTCATTATGATTATCGCTCTATAGATAAGAGCTGCCTGGGATTCCGTTGTTGGATGAGCCCCATGTGCGCTGACCAATGTGCGCATGTCGTCAGTTGTGATACATCGAAAAGAATCTTTATATCATTGACGTCTGCGGACATATATCGATGAAAGCTGTTTTAACAATTATGTTACGTCATTATTTGTAAATAATATTCGCACGACATAATAATATTCAAGATATTGCGATTATGTTAGAGATCCAATCTGAATTAAAAAATAATGTTAACTATCATGTTTGGTGCGCAGTTAATGTTCTAGTTCCGTCTTGCTATATAGGGTGAAGTGATCGTGCGTGAGACATGTTTTGCCCTATCTTAGCTGTCAGTTTGGTCTGATAACAAACCGTCTGTTGCAATGCTCTTGCCTCTGCCTCGTGTAAGTGGAGGCTCTCCTTTCAACCAAGTGATTTGCAGTGGCTTGACTTACCCTTCTTTTTATTCTTTCTTATTGGGTTTAACCAATAGATTTTTATATTTTATTCTCTTCGTGTATTTTTTACGTTTTGGTCTTGCTATTGCCGTCCACTATGAAAGCCATTTTCCGTTCACAAGTTATTACGAGTCTTCCATTGTTTTATTTGACATTTATGCCGATGGTTGAAGTGACATGATAATGATTAGGAAATATTGCACGTATAATTAAAGTGTGATTTGGTATAGGTAGTTTGTCAACCAGCGCATTTAGAGTGAAGTAATGTGTAACCACTGAGTGAAATAATGTGAGAGAGTAATGTGTTTAGAGTGAAGTATGTGTAAACACTGGGCCAGTTGATCCCAAACAAAGAAGCCTTAGACAGTATTTAAACATTTTTTTAACTGACTTGTCACGAACTGACTTTAGAACTGACTTGTCTTGATTTTTATATTTGACAGTATTTAAAGATTTTAAGAACTTACTTGCCCGGTACCTCTACTATTCTGAAATATAATGCATTTCGAAACTTTATGAATTTTGCTTGTAAGTTTATTGTAACAAGCCACTATTCTATGTTTCTACAAGTCTCTTGTCTACTGAAACCACTTATTTCCGCATCGATCAAAAGTTGCATTCTTTCTAATTTTTTTTCGTTGGTGGTTCAGACTCCGGGGATTTGGAATTGGACGCCATACTTGGAGAACTTTGCGCTCTAGGCAGCCAATTCGACCAAGAGCTCAAAGATCGCCCGGCCGAACCTCATCCGTCCAGCAGCAACACAGGTGACGTAACGGAAATAACCTGTAGATTTGATCGAAATATATAATGATAATCATCCTATCAGCAGCATTGAAACTTGACTTGCTCCATGGGATGTCATATTCATGACGTTATTTGGTAATATTCCACCAGGAGGAGCTAGAAGAATGCCGTGCACCGCGAACCGCTCGTCGCAGCAGGGCGACTCGAAGGCCAAATTTGACTGCGGTGATGGCGAGCAGCCTAATCCTGCCATGTGTAAGATGATTATTCATTATAAGTGTTGGAGAACATTTGATTTTTTGTCTTGACGTTCCCATTTGATTAATTTTTTTAAACGCTCAAGACTCATAGTACGTTACTTAATTTAGGGTGAACATTTGTATATTCTATCATTGCTGTGGTGCGACTGCGATGAATTTGTTTAATTTATTCCATTGCTGAAAAAATTCATGTTGGTATATATAATAAATGGATAATAATAGCGGTTTCAGCGTTGATTAGGCCGTTAAACCAATCACCGATTCTTAACATCGCAGAAAATTCGCAGCTTCTTGCGGTCTCGAATACGCAACTCACTGCTTCAATTTGATTATATTTAACTGCCCGGCCTCCTCGCCGATTTTGCTCAAAAGTGTCGTACAAAGCTGGGACCGAACCCGCACTTCTGTAGCAACTGGGCTAACCTGCCCACCCTGACTCACTGGGCTAACCTGCCTACCCTGACCTCATAGCTTGTTTTTCAACAGCTCGCACTGACAGTCCTGACAACGACAGCGCGTTCAGCGACTGCGTCAGCGTGCTGTCTTCAGAGAGCAGCGCCAGCAGCGGCGCCTCTAACGCCCACCGTCAGCAGCAGCTGCAGCTCGCTAATCAGGTACTAGTGTGACTTTACTTGCTGTTCTCCGCACAAAACTTCAACTAGAATCAAAACCTGAGACGTTATTATTCCTAATAGAAAACTAAAATAATTATATCGCCCAGCGAAAAATATTTTGTCAAATTTTTCCAGATGTAAGATAATGTATTTAAATCTGCAAATGAATGACAATATTGAAACGATCGACTTTTTTTACACAAACTTGAAATTTTGCACAAGCTTTAAGTCAACCGCAAGCAGCATTTCCAGGTGAATCGGCAGATCAGATAACTATTTTTCGTTATATTCTCAGGTGGACAACGCTGCTCAACTGAAAGCAGAAAAAATCAAGTTGGCGCTGGAAAAAATCAAGGAGGCGAATGTTAAAAAGCTGTTCTTGAAAGCCTTTTCCCGTGACGGTTCGAGCAAAAGTTTACTGGTAGACGAGAAGATGACCGTGGCGCGCGTCACTAGACTCCTGGCAGACAAGAACCACGTCACGATGGACCCGAAGTGGACCATCGTCGAGCACCTCCCCGACCTCTACATGGGTGCGTCTCTGAAGAACCTTTAATTTTGCGTGTTGCATTTTATTATGACGTAATAAAATATCCCTTTTTCAGTGAATGAAATCTCAATCGATCTTGAAGTCGCATTTTTTGAATCGAGTGACACATCTGCATTTTTATCGCAATGGTTTAATTGAGCAGGTAAAATGCTTTTATATTTTTTTCTTGTTGTCTTGTGCTTCTTTGCATGTTCAAGAATTGCAAAGTCGTTCCATAACTGCATTTTAAAAATTATTTCTCTACATGCGTAATGGTGTAATCTTCTGCCACAGAACGCATTTATGAGGACGACGAGATGCTCGTAGAAAATTTGCTGCTGTGGGCCCGTGACAGTCAGAATAAATTGTATTTCCTGGACCGGCCCGACAAGTACATGCTTTTCTGGCAGCCCGAGCAGTTCCTCAACGCCTCTCAGTCAACTCCTGCAGAGCCTCTTTTGGATGATGAGGCCAAAAATAATCTGATAGAAGTGAGAATTTTTACCATTGTAATTTTACTATTCGCTGACTACGTGTCTGTTTTGCACTCATTGGTGTAATCGTGTATTCTTCGACGAAAATCGTCAAGTTATCAATCGAACTAATTAAGGCCGTACCTAAACAGGCTAATGGGATGTCTTTCCTGATAATTGCCTAATACTTTTTCTTCAGGAATTTTTCTCATCCGGCTCGGTGCCTGAGGTTGAAGGTCCTCTTTTCCTGAAATCTGAGGGGAAGAAAATGTGGAAAAAATTTTATTTCATCCTTAGAGCTTCGGGCCTATACTATTGCCCGAAAGGCAAGAGCTCCAGATCATCTAAGGACCTTGTTTGCTTAGTCACTTTTGATGGAAGCCAGGTAAGGGTTGTAAATATATTTTATAACTATATATCTAGTCGAAAAATTTGATTTTCCTATAACAGTGGTCGAATAAATGGTACTCCACGTGTCCTCATTATAAGTTTTCGCAATGTTCGCTGACGATGTTTTTTGTCAGTGGACGGTTCTTCTCTCGCTTATTATCCACAAGTCTGCTGCTGAGCCACTTTGTGGCTTCTCAAAATAATGAAAGATATATACCAGTTTATGACATCGTTTATATTCCATTCACATTCGGCAGGTTTACCAAGGCGTGGGTTGGCGTAAGAAGCACAAGTCTCCCACCGACTGGGGATTCGCCATCAAGCCTGTGGCTCTGCAGTCCAAAAGCAGCAAGCACATCAAATATTTGTGTACCGACGACGCAGCTAGCATGCATCGCTGGATCACTGCTATCCGCATCGCCAAGGTGACTGTTGCTCTCGCACTTGCTTCTTAGAATTTGAGGAGTACCGACGAAGATCGTTATGCAGGATTCCTCCTGTTACCTAGCGCTTAAACTTATTTTAACAGTAGATAATTTTTAAACTTGATAATTTGCAAATTGTTTTTTATTTGGAATAAATTTTGCCCCATACCAACTGGCATTCATCAGAAGATTATGATCATTTAGATAATTCTATTAGTTTAGGAAATTAGACATCCATGTTGAAAAGGATAGACCAAGTACACAGAGCCTTGTTAAAGAAGTATAAACCCTGAGGGTATAATGGAATCCCATCAAGTGTTTGCTTGGTAATAAATTTGAGCGAAGAATAACTTTAGCTAATTGTTGCAGTGCGGCCGTCGCTTGTTGACCAACTACCGGGCGCTGATCGAGGACCTCGCCCAAGAAGACATCGACTTGCTGGCGTCGTCGCGATCCTTCAGCCTCGCGTCCGTCGCGGCGCCGTCCAGCCAGGCGACGACTCCTTCAAGCGAGTCCCGCTCCCTGGACTCCTGCTTGGCATCTAGCGTGGCTACGTCCGCTGACGATAGTGACAGGGATGATGACTGCGACAGCGATGGTGCCACTCCCGTTAATACCTTAGATAGACAACATGCGTGGTGCAGAAATAATGATTTATCTGTGGCCGCCACCCATAATGCCAGTGTTTACAACACACTTGCCTCAACCACTTCTACAAGCAGTTCATCATCAAGCGGCTGCATGAGTCATCGCTCAAACGCCTCAACTCCCTCTACAGAGCACGGCTTTGAATCAGAGTTCTCCCAGCAAGGAACCATCAAGAGAAAACCTGCAGCCCCAAAAATCCCCCTCACGAACACAACTAGACAAATGCTGCACGACCGCGAGTTTGAGTGCGGAGACAACGCGGGTGTCATCGGCAATTCAAGCGGTGCCTCGCTTATAACCGCCTTGCGGCAGTCGCTTAGACGCTCTATTAACGACGAATCATCATCAAGCCTCAAGAGAAGAAACTCAAGCAGTAGCACATTGCCAAGAGGTTTTTCGTCCGCCAAACATTCTGTGGAAGAACGCAACAGCCATTCAACTCTCCCCTCAATGCCTGCACCGAGCTATCAGTCTGCAGAGATAGACGGCCTTCCACTTCCTCTTCCCTTACCTGATGTGGATCCTGTTGATCCCTCTTTCTTGCCTCCACCTCCCCCCGAACTTCTAGCTTCCACCCTCAGTCTTGCATCGTCTCTTCCACCTCCTCCAGATGAATTGTCGCCCCCCAATCCGGATGAAATGACATGCAGTATGATCTCCTTACCGCCTCCCCCTCCGCCTCTCACTCTCCCCTTAGCGAACCTCGAGCTTCGGCTCGCGTCCCCACCCACGCTTCCTCATGCTTCTATGAAGCCCAAATCACCTCCTCCTCCTCCCGTCGCTCCCAAGCCAAGACGAATTTCTGACTCCAGTTCTCACTCTCCTCCATCACCGCTTTCTCCTCCTGTTGGAGTCATGAAAAATAAGCTTCCTGTGCAGCCGCCTCCTAAGCCAAAGAAAAAAATCTCCTTTAAAGAAGATGTACAAAACATTCCTCCTTGTATTTATTCACCATCCCCTTCACCCCCTACGCCGTCTTCCCCCAGTAAGCCTCCTCCCCCACCTCGCTCAGACTCGACGCGACTCTCCAACTCCCCGCAGAGTTTATCCAATCCTGCCAACAAACTAACGCCTCCTCGCACCTTCCTCTGCAGCCTGCAAAAAGTCATGCAGCGCAAGTGGCAAGTTGCAGAAAAATGCAAAGATTTCGATCAAAACCCGCATGAAGTTTTGGGCTTCAGGGACTCATTGCCGCCTACAGAGACCGAGAGAAACGTCGGATTATGGATCCAAGAGCATTACGGAAATATCTACGATCATTTGGGCAACAACCCAAACAATCAGAATGGGTGTAGTGACTCCGATAGTTTACCTTCCCCACCTTTACCATCTCCTCCTCCTGTATCCCCTCCCTTATCTTCTCCGTCTGTTCAGTCTCAAAGACCACTGTCGGATGTGCCATGCTCCGGTTCTAGCATAGCTAGCAGCAACCGCCTGAGCCAAGGATCTGTCGGCAAGAAAAGACCTCCGCCACCTCCGCCAAAGCGATCTGACAGCACGCATCTGTCCTCGATTCACTGATGACTTTTTACCTGTAGGATTAGTGATTAGATGTGGTGCTAAGGGCTTCGCGAAACTTAGCGGTCAGCGTTCTATGAAGCCACGTTGCTCATTCAATATGAAGCCAGGTTACTAAGTGTTGCATGTATATAAACAAAATTATTCCACTACTCTCACGGAAGGAAGCTTCAAACTCATTCAAAATCCAAGAATAGCTTAATTTTTCTATTGCAGAGTGACAAGGTAGTTCCTCAAATTTGTTAATTAATATTAGTGAGCTCTGTAAAAAACATGATGTCTACAAAATGATTTCCAATTCACATGTACATAATGTTAGATTTTGTAAAAAGAATAACATAAGTTTACATTGGCTATTCATCTCGGTCGCTTTTTATTACGCGAACTTGTGCAGGAGAGTTTGCGTGAAGGTGCTCGTGACCTGAGGTATTTGTAGTCTGTCTGTTTTTTTTCTGTTCTTCGTTATTGTGAAATAATTTATCTTCTCTTCGTGTTGACGACGTCAGAATACTTGCATCTTTTTTTACATCATCGTATAATTTTTTTATTTTTAATAACCAATCATAGATTTGCGGTGGTAAACATTTTACCTCAAGGACGGTACCACATTAAAAAGTTCATACTGATCTATATAACTCAAGCAGGGTAATTTATTGTTTTTAGTGAGGACAAAAATAAGTACACATAAATAATTATTTCTATGAACTATTATTTAAAGGTGCACCTTTCTTCTTTTTGTGCCTTTGAGCAGAATTTCGGAAGTAGCGCTCCCTCATCTAGATCGTTTTTCACGGTTTAGTTGATATTATTGACTGAAAATACTTTTTTCATCCAGATCATGACCGAACCACTAAATTTGATCGTCTGCTCAGCTATTTTTTGTGCCTTTGTTAAGCCTTCTCTCAATTCTTCATTTTTACGTCCTTCTTAGATTTCAGTTGAGGAAACAACGCCGCCTAGTCTTAAGACGCACTCATCTTAAAACTCGTCTTGCATTGTTTTTTTTCAGTCCTTGAATTACACTGCCAGCTTTATGCTAGGATTTTCGTAGTTTTCTCGGCCAAACATTACAGGGATCTCTTATTTGACTCAAGATGCACAACAAACGATTTTAGATTTATTTGTTCGATGCAATTTATTGAACGCAGTGTGCGATGACTCATTATGATTTTCAGTTGTAAGCATTCAGTTGAGTTTCAAATTTTCTTTGTCCCCATTAAATCACCCTATGTAGCGCCTTAGAGTCTGTACTAGTGAACCGATGGACGTGAGCACTGTACATATTTTCATATGTAGTGTTCCGCGACAGTACCTATTTTGCCTTTACTCACACTGGTTCATGTACAGTCGACACATGAACTAAATAAATTGTTCACATAAAGACACATAAATAAATTGTTAATCAAATATTGGTTTGTGTGATTGTGTTTCTTGCTTTGTTTCTATACTCGCTTTGATGGCTGAACAAAGTTGAACATGATGAGAAGGTTACATTCATATTTTCACTTGCGACCATTTCGTTTGCGTATTTTCCCATTGAGCTCATGCATCTTAATTTGTTTGGTAGATAAGATTTGTTTTATTTCCAGTTTTTTTCAGCGTATACTTGAATTGTTACAAGACTGGTCTAATTCTCCCGGCAATCATTCTTCATTTTCTTATAACCATTGTGGGTCCGGTAAAATTTTTTCTTTACCTGACCAAAGGCCTTGACATGTATTGGCCAGTATTTCCAGTTTACCGTTGTTTTGGTAACCTATTGGCACTGTTTTTTTTTAATTTATTACCCGTTTGTGGGGAGCAAGGATCTCGGAAATTTTCGTGCGTCGTCATTGTTCGACAGGAAGTGACGTTTTAAGATGATGCTTAAAATCCGTGCATGTCTTTTAGCTTTCTTACCGTTGATCAGCTCTTCTCTCCGACATGCGCATTTAATATCAAACACTCGACTAGGAAGATGGAGCAGACCTCTTCTGCCAAAAGTCTGTCGAGTGTGCGAGTCGTTCAACCTTTCTGCCTAAAAAATGAATCAACGTCCAAAAAATATTCTTGGATCACTTCTGGTCACGTGAATTTACAAAAATTCTCAAGAAGAATTTATCATCATCTTATCATCATACTATTTTTATTCATTCTTTTCCAACTTCCCGTAAAGTCCGTACATGGAAATCAACAGTTTATCTGAAGCCACGACCGTACTCTATTATGCAGTTGTTCATTGTGAATGTGGGCAATAAGTATCGTGGATGTAGAAGCTGAACTTGCAGAATGAAAATTTTGATGTCACACTTGCCTTTTTGCGCCTTTAAATGTTTGACTTTTTGAATGCATGATTAATGTTTCTGCTATTGAAATGTCCATTCCTGAGCTCCTAAGAAACCCTAACGTATGTAACATTGTACCTACTATCCTAAAGTCGTTTATTTGGAGTCGCTTTAATTTCTTTCAATGCCATTTAATGTTCTAAGCCTCGTTGAAATTTACAGTCTGATTATTCATAGTTATCCTGTTTACAACGTCCTTCTACGTCCTGTCTTGAAAATACATAAAGAAATTATATAACTATATAAAGATGACCATTAAGTTTTCTCTTATTTATCCTGGAGAGGGTTTTATTGCGAATGAAGTAGACGAGCTTATTTAAAAAATTTCGCTCCATAAATTGAGATTAGACTAATATAGGCGTGGCTGTAGACTTTATTTACATATGTAACCCGTAAGATTTTTTCAAGACGAAATATTCAGTTTGCTATTCTGCAATAATTAATAGTGCAAACCAAAGTTAGTTCGCAAACGTTCAAAAGCACTCCAGTAACAATTAGTGTTTCTAGCATTTTAATTACTATTTTACAGAAGGGAATAAAGTGTTTTGAAAACGTTCCCTTCAGGTAAACGAAAAATCGAGGCATTCCCAAGAATCAAAATTCTCTAATAATAATATAACAAGTCATATTGTAGATATGCCGGATTATCCATCCACAAGCATTCAGTTGGAGAAGGATTTCTTACTCGCCAAACTTCATACTACATTCAACGCAGCACATTCAATGCCGCCATCACTTGCTTGCTCTTTCCCCTGCCGCCTTCCATCCCACCGCTCGTGACCGCCGTCGACCTGACATGATTTTACGACTGTTGTGCGACCGGAAGTGAGCCGGCAAAAAATAGACCAAGGCCGCTCGCGCTTGAGGAGAGATGAGACCATATCGTCGCTAGGATATATGATATATCGTCAAGTCAGATTTATTTTGACGAATTTGAAGAATTTGAAACAAGAACCAACAACAGGGGCCACGGCTATAAACTAAAAAAATTGCGTTGTAACACATCCATGCGACAACATTTCTTCTCGCTTCAAGTCACCGACATGTGGAACAGCCTCCCTGATAGCATCGTTGAAGCTCCCGAGTATGAACATCTTCAAAAACAGACTAGACGAAGCTATGCAGGAGCATATGTTCAGTCTTAAAATGCCTAGCAAATTACGGACCAGGCAATAAGTCCAGCAGCATCTCAATCAATCGTCAGTTATGGAAAGATCGGGTTCCAAAGGCCGGATCCCTTGTGAATCAAGTCACGAAAAGTTCAAGAATCGGCAACAGGCCATGGGCCTATTTCTTCAACGCCGACACTTCTATTCTTCTATTCTATTATCTAATCGTTGTTTTAGGTAGCCTAGATGATTGGTTCTTATGAGTTTTTGGGATAGCGTAACTCATGGTTGAATTAATTCAACCATGGCGTAACTCACCAGGAATTTTTTATTGATTACGGAACATGATCACTGTCATCTAACCAGTGATATGAGGTTCAATATTCCGTTTGGACTCTCTCTTTCATTTAATTCTGGTATGAAATTTCGCTACCAATTTCTAGCTAAGAACATCAAATTCACCGTCAGGATGGACACTTCATGAGCTCACGCACCTGGATTGGAAAAGAGTTCTTTCATGCGAAACATTCTTTGTTGGCTAGCTTCCACGTGCATGCGCTTTGTTCGGTAACGATGTTAACTCCCACATTATTGAAGCCATAAAAAAGTGGAATATGTATTACTCATGTACACATGTCAAAAACACTATATATAGAGAGCCTACAGGTGAGAATAACTGTATTGCGAGCAAGCGTTGAGGGCATTATCAAGTCAAATTTCCTATATTAATTACTTAGAAACGCCTACTTTAAATATATTACTGAAGAACTTAGTTCAACTTGGAAGTGATGCAAAACCTCCTGCTCAACCATGTATATTTCATGAAATGGGTTACTTGATAGAAGCCTGACACTGCATGTATAATACATACATTTTGCATGAATATAACTCATGCATACACAGTGAATATGTAGGAACTATACGAGCGTTTACATACCCGCAGTACTTATCGTTTTCGTTGTTTTGGGAATTGGCGTACTTTATTTAAGTTGAGCGAATATATAAGAAATAATATGCGTTAAAATCACTTTTTAAAGACAACACTTCTAAAGAATTCAGTGTCTTTGATGTTACACATGTATAATGAATTTCTAATTTTATTTTCAATATTGAAAAAAATTAATTTTCAAATTTTTTTTAATATATAAAAATTTTGTAAATTTACAAAATTATTTATTCTGTCAACTGATTCAAGCATTGTCTCTGACTTTACGCAAGTGTGCAAAATTTCAGATCGATTGGACTGGTAGGAGTGTGTTAAATATGGATTCCAAGATTTGTAGCAGAAAAAATTATTTTTAAATTTCTTTTAATATTGAAACTTTTTTAATTTTTAAATTATTTATTCTGTCAATCGATTCATGCATTGTCTCCAACTTTACGCAAGTGTGCAAAATTTCAGATCGATTAGACAGGTAGGAGTGTGTTAAATATCGATTATAAGATTTGTAGTTGACAGACAAACAAACAACAAGAAGTGAAGAAAGATAAGTGCTGTAAAAAAATTAGTTCCTATTTATAACTTGCAATTTTATTTCACCATTTGAATGTGTTTTAAATGTGATTTCGTTTGAAACGAGCCATCCTTTAATTCACAAGACTTTATTTTTTTTAATTCAGATTTTTAGATAAAGTAAATGACAATTTTTCACTGCACAATTTCGCTCACATCGACCTGCTAGAATTAGAAACGATAATTAACACACGTTAACAAATGTGCAGGCACCGGAGCAGGTGTGTCCTGTACATGATTTCGTAGGCCAGAACAGGTTTTTGTAATAAAATTAATGATTCCGGTGAGATTTATTAACGGTTAAATTAATGAATTTGCGATTGATTTAATGGAAAAAAATCAATCGATCAATTGGTTGAATTCCGTACCATTATTTGTCTATTTTACATTGATTTGCATATTCTAGGACTGTGACCACACTGCTATAACTTTCATGTGAGTATTGGAATACATTTTTGACTGCCATTTTTCGTTAACAGCTATTAAGTATTTATTTGACTCCTACATGGCTGGAGAGAGAATATATACCCTTCATTGCGTTATCGAGTTATATATGCGTCTCACTTGTGCCATCGCAAGCTCAGTCCGATAGAAAGTCGCCAATCTAACAAAAAAAGTCATCTTCAGATAAATCGTCATCTAATTCGATAATTGGACTGTAGGGGATCCGCCCCAGATTCTCAGTTGCATATCTCCTTGCATATTAACGTGTTATCTGATTCTTAGTGCATATACAGTATATTTAACAAACTTGGGTCACGATCCTGACTCCTGCTAAGAAATAACAGAACTATAATGAATAAAGGTAACATGAATTGAATTACTAAAATATAAGCAAACTATTACATACCAAACAATATATACACCTTGCTAGAATATATGCACACTGAATGACGAAATGGATAACACGACAGGATATAAACAAATACGAAAAGACACTAAACAACCGTACACATCTTGCCAGCGTGGGTTCTGGCACAGTAATAAATCATCAGTAAAACCTATTCTTTGGATGCAGGCTACGGATATCCCTAGATTAAAATCATATACGTATGTATAAAATGGATACCGTACGCAAATAAATAAACGAAATCATTAAGAAAATTTATAACAGCCGAATGCTAACCACTACAGATCTATAAGACAGAAGTCCAATGAAATTAATTGTAAACTGTCCACTATGCTCCCAGTTTCAGAATGGAACTTTGGGGCGATTCAATAATGATTAGAGAATTGCAGCGCTCTGATGACTTCATGTATCTGCCAGCATGATAACTTGCATTCAATGCGTCATTACAGTGAATACTGTTCTTTACGAGTGAGAAAGTATTCAAATTTCATCCTTTATTTTTTTACTCCGTTTTTTCAGGTGCAATTGAATGGCAAAAAGTTTTCGATCAAAAAAGATCTAACAGTAATGCATTATAAAATTAGCGTTATGAACTTGAAATACTTAGCATCTACATTTTTTATGTATAATTAATACTACCACGTCCAATCCGTTTCTGCTGGTCAGGCTCTCACCTGTGACCGATGGATTCAAACTATGATATTCATCTTTCAAATCAGTTCTTTATGATGTGATATGATATTCATTAACATATGATATATCATAGTATGATATATCATATTATGATATGATATTCATCCTTTCATATCAGTATTTTACGGCAAAGTTTTCTTCCTGAAGCACGTACAATTAATGATCATAGAATCGATTATATTCTAATTTTCGAGGAGTCAACTACCTGAAAATTTGAATATAATGCACTATCTGTTCCTAAATCGTACGGATTCTATTAAATGTGAACAAGCTAATTGATTGGACATGATGTTATCTGCGATAACCCCTCACCAAATAAATGACAGTCACGGCGAGGGATAGAACCCTGCACATTGCGCATGGAGAGAATGAAAAAGTTTCGTTCTTCTATTAGATAAGAGATTTTTCCAGCCATCAATTGATTTTGATTGAAATTTGATTGAAAAAAAAATATATTTTCATTCTAAATAAAAGCATTGCGTCGTAGGAGAGATTGTGAGAAATTCCTCATTTCCCACCGTTAATTAGTATATATGCTAGGGTTTGTTTATAAGATCCATTATTAACCGAATTATCTTACTTCTAGAATCCGATTCTCTATCTTAAGCCGAAGAATAAGTATTACCAGTAGTCTAAATCAGGGGTTCTGCCGCGGATCTTATCGGTCCTCATTAGCATCTTTTGTCGATTGTATCAAAATTATCCGTGCCGCCAGTGAAAACATCGGTGTTCAAATCTCGATATTCTCATCTAAATTTAAAAGCTTGACATTTCGTCAGTTATTGCCAATTGCCACTTATATCAGCCATTCAACCGTACCGTTCGTCAACTTACCTGCATCAACGTTCAAGTATCTACCATCTTCCTTTAAACCTGTTTCTCTATCCCTTGGTTTGTGTGAATGTCGTTTGAATTTCGTTTTGTTTATTTTTTTTGCACTATTAAATTCATTGATTCAATCTGTTGGGAAGTTGGACTTAGTTTAAGTGCTACAATTCAAATTAATTCTAAATCAAACTTAATTTTGTAAATTTATTCAGGATTTATTATAAATCAAATCAAGCTATTCAAATTTTCAGTAGTTTTTGCT